GAGACTGCCCTACCTAAACACTGGCGAGCCCTCCCCAGCCCAGGTCTCTGCACTGCCGTTGGAATTCTATTAGCAGCTTTTCTCTCAGGCACATGGCCGAGCAGTGGTCAGATGGCGAGGAGATACTGAGCTCTCACTGCATTTGACAGCTTTCTGGTTGTTATGGAGGCTGCAGAAGACACACATGCAGTGAGGCCCCTTCCTGTTGGAGTCTGGGAAGATGGAAGTCCTCCAGGGAGACCATCACAGAACAGGCAGCGGGGTTAGCTGGTGTGGTAGACATCAGAGGCGTGGGGGAGGTTTGCTGGAATTTCCATGTCCTCCCCATTTTTCTCAGCTAAAACTATGTATGTGTGTATATTCAGATAGGGTCGAGGGAGTAGGTAAAAATCTTAGTGGAGATCTTGCTTTCTCGACTGGTTTGAGGACATCCTGACCTTTGATTTTGGGCTCCTATGGCTCCAAAGAGAAGCATGCTTCTATCCTGGGGTCTCTGGTTAACTGCCTACCCCCTGCCCCAGCTTATGCCAAACAGAAGTGTCACCGCTGGTGTAGGCTGGGAGCTGAGGGAAGGGGTCTAATTCTCACCACAGCCAATATGAGGCAGACAAGAGTGGCAGTTCTTGAAGCAGGGGTTTTGGAGATACTCTTCGGTGATTTTTCTGGCAAAATGTTCTGGCTGTTTTTTTGCTGGGGGTGGCGTAGCTCTGGATTAGCTGCTCCTCTGCCTCTCAGCCTACCAGCTGTACCTTGATCCTGGCCCTTCTCCTTCTCCTGCTGATGAGGGGCTGAGTTTTAGGAGAAGGGGTGAAGGTGGCTGAGTGTGCACCCACCCAGGAGAAGAATGGATTGGGGATCAAGGGACAGCCCCTTTTGTGGGGCCCCTGCCCTGCCCGAGGTCCCTCCATCAGGGGCTCCAAGCAACTGGCCTCTCCTGGGCAGGGCAGCAGCCGCTTGTTTAGTGCCGCTGTTTTTATAAGCTAATGAGGGCAGAGCGTGAGCCACAGGCAAAGATGCTGTGATATTAACTGTGACAGGAAGCTTGATCATAATTATCTTAACGAGGATAGGGTTAATTACAGTGGAAACTTAAAAGTTCTCTCTGTTTGAATCTGCCGGAGCCGAATGCATTGTGATGTTTTGTCATTTTGATGTGACTTTGAAAATGGCACTGGGACTCTCCTGGCAGTCGCCTTGGCTCCTGGGGGAGCCCAACCAGAGCCCTGTGCACGAGGTAACCGAGATGGTACCTGTGGGTGAGATAATGGACAGCTTTCCTGCCTGTGGAGCGGGAGGCAGGCAGCCGACAGCGTGCTTCCGAGGTGCTGATTAGGTTTTCAGAGCAAGCCACCTGCCGTGGCTGGACTGCATGCCCTGTCTGCCTGCCTGCCCTTGGCGTCTCTTGACCGAGCTGGAAGATCTCTTTTCCAGCTGGCTGTGCTGAGGTAGTGGGTGAAGACTTGCCCTCCCCTCCAGCCTCTGACTGTGGGGTGGAGAGATGCCCACCTCGCCCTTCCAGCCCACACCTCAGACGTCAGCGGCCACTGCCAAGGAAGCAGGCCAGTGACCCTGGAGGACCGGCAGCCCGCCCCACTAGGGGTCTCAGGTCTGGGATGTATTTGTCGTCCACACACAAGGTTATAGCAGAGAAATTTCAGCTGCGACATCTTCTCCCTCTAATGGAGCTGTCCCATTAAACAGCATGTATCTGTGTGGATCCTTAAAGCCTTTTTTTTGTCTCATTGTTTTATTTAACAGCACAGATCTATTTGCAGGCATCTTGTATATGGGGGTATGAATTCAAAGATTGACACAGGTAATTTCTTTCCTCTACTCCTTCCTGGAAAACAGCAACAACAGGAAAAATTTTTTTAAAAATAAAACAATCTTCTGGGTTGATGTGTGATGGCCTCCAGTTGCCAGCCACGCCCTGGCAGTCGGGTCCTCTCCCCGGCCTTCTCCTTCACGATGCTTTTTCCCTCCTGCCTCCATCCCTCGGCTCTGAATTTAGCTGATTAAATTACCAAGTGACGACGTGAAAACAGGAATTGATTAATCAGCAACCTCCATGTAACATGGGTCCCTTTTAACTGAGCAGCTAATAATATTACAAGGCCAAAAAATAAAATAAAACCCAAACCCGACAGATGATGGGGTTTGAGCCTGATCTTCTCGCCTCCTGTCTGAAGTCTCACTCCGGTGTTGAGCTCTTCCCCAGCGCCAGCCCACCCGGAGAGAAAGGCAATCTTGGTGGGCACTCCCTCTAGTGTCCGCAGGCTTTGTCCCTCTTCATGCTGTGTCATTTTGTTTTATGCCTCCCCTGGAGCACTTTTGGAAGGGAGCTTTCTTCTGCTTGCCAGTTGCCAACCATTTGCTGATTCTCATGATAAGAGTATTATATTTGCATAACATAACTTGGGAACAATGTGTATTTGGATGCTGTCTTTGACCAGAGCCCAACTAGTGTTTCAGCACAAACGACTTATTAGCCACCCAGAAGGCTCCCTGAGGGGAGGTGGCCTCAACTCCCCTTGTGGGAAACCTGAGCCTGGTCCTGAAAAGGACTTTTGGATCATCACTAATTGGCCCCTGATGGAGGAAGGGACTTCAGACAGTTCCTTGTAGAATGCAGCCATACTTCACACCTCTGGATTTAGTCATCTGCCACTCCTGGGGCACACCTCCTAGAGCTTCTGGAAAAACCAGTGAATGAAAGGAGGAAGGAGAAGAAAGAAACCAGCATTTTACTAAAATCCTGTTGTGCGTAAGACGTGATGCTAGTAACTTGCTAGCTTTATAAGCTGAAAGGACACAGAGCAAGGGAGCTTGGATCAGTTATTGATATGCCCACATTGTCAAGGCAAGTAAATGGTGGCGCTGAGATAAAATCCCAGCTTTCCTGCCTAGGTATGTGCAAATTTTATTTTGCCTCCCTGGGCCCTGAGGAAAAAGAGAAAGGAGGAGAAGGAAATAAAACAGGAGAACCCACTGGCCCTTTACCCAAAATGTGTGCGGTATTGTGCTCCTGCTATGGGACAGATCCTCTTGGCTGCAGGAGCAGGCATTTTTGAGTGTTAGGTGCCTGGGTTGGCCCACCCTGAGGGCTGCCATGAATGGGGTGTGCAGGCAGGGCTGCGGGCCCAGTGAAATCTGAGGATTTAATTACATATTCACAATGCATTTTATACCTCTCAAGGATAGACTCCCTATTTTGGAGTCCTCTTGCTGGAGGTCCCACAAAGGAGATATTGATGCCTTGGGAAAGCTCCGCAGCTGAAGTTCACACTCACACCAGATGTGCAGACATTGCACACACACGCACTCAGGTCTTTAATGTAAGCGTTATCAGTAAATGAATAAATAGTGTGCATTGCATCCCCCTGAGTCCTCACATTTTATAAAATAGCCGGGCGATTCCCATGTGAGCCCTCCCTCTGGTCCACACTGGAGCACAGCTGTCAGCGTGTGCAGGCTCAGCACATCTCCTGGGTCCGGCAGGTGAAGGAGCTGGGTGGTGGTGGTGGTGGTGGGGTTTCTTTGTGTAAGTCCCTCAGCCTGCGGCTTGTTTTAATTAATGTCTGCGTGCCCCGTGCAAGCATGTGTGCACACGACTGCCCTCATCTCCTCAACCCCCAACACTCAGGAGAGCCCATGAAATTGAGAGTTAACTTTCAGCTAAGTGTATGAGCAAGGCTATTCTTCTCTTTCTGATATATATATGTATGTGTGTGTATATATATCTGCATATATATATGTATGTGTGTGTGTGTGTATGTGTATATATATATATATATATATATATACCTCTCTCATTGTATATATATATTCAGTGAAAACTGTGAGAGCTGGAACTCTGTGGGACTGCCTTGATTTTCCCGGTCTCACAAGTTTTCCACCTTCGACAAGGTACAATCTTACCACTTTTCTATCCCTCTCTATTAGTGGAAAATATTTGAGTGTTCC